GCCCACTCTACCCAAAGGTCTCTGGGCGATCCAGTTATGGACAGAGATACTGGTAAATGACACATCTGGATGGCATGCAGAATCTTGGAGGATGAGGGAAAAAACCCAGTCTTTTGTCCATCTAGAGAGCCTATTCAGACCAGTGGGAGGGGGAGTGAAACCAACATGGAGGATATATCAGGGTTCTCCTACCAGCTCTCCTCAGACTGAAGAAGGTACTTGGATGAGTAGTGAAACATTTCAATCTAACAAGAAAGAAGTCCAGTTGCCACGACTCAACTTCCAGAGACAAAGAAAGCAATAAGAGGGAGTGCAAATGGGCTCCTGCCTGGAAGAACTCCCAGACTCAGTCCCTCCACCTTAGCTTGTGGGTGAGGCAGAAAGGGTGTACCCTGTGCTCAATTCACTCGCTGTTCTTGGGCATTAGATTTTTATATTTATCGAAGGAAGACGTGCACTTATAACAATGTTTGAAAAGTACTGTACTCATCTCTTCTCCATTTAGAGATACTGTATTAAGGGAAATTTGCAAACAGTATTCTATTTAGTTCCTTAGTAAGGAATGAAGAAGACCTCACCTTCTGGCATGAGTCTGTGAAGATTCTCAGTCATCCAGGTGAGGTTATCTGGAAGCTGAGTCATGGCAACTGGATTTATTTCTTATTAGGCTGAAACGTTTGGCCATGGGAAGAGGGGGGGGGGCTTCTTGAAGAACAGCTTGCCCTGCTGGAGCAGGGATGTTCTCGGACTACAGCTTCCAGAATCCCTGACCATTGACCAAGCTGTCTTGGGCTTCTGGGGCATAAAGTCCAACAATACCTGGGCTCTGAGCTTGTGTGAGAAGGAGAAAAGCCATGTGGGATTCCACTATACTACGAGAGATGGGCATGAACTGCCTAGAGGAGGCTGGTCAGGGAAGCCAGGCTGCTGCTTCAGTGGGTGCCCACCAGAGGAGGTGGGGTTTGAAGCACTGCACACCTGTTTGGTTGCTCAATGAACCAGAATGAACCACTGAACTGGAAGTTTGTGCCCACCTCTTTTACAACTATTTGGGTGATATTGGCCCTGTCCTTTGCATCTGGGAATTCTTGTGCTGCTACATGGGGTTGCTGGCGCTCCCTCACTTCTCCGCTTCTTTGTCCTGCTGGTGGTGGTGGTGGTGGTGGTAGTGAAGAAGGATTCCTTCCTTCCTTCCTTCCTTCCTTCCTTCACCAAGATGATAAAACCTTCCCCACCCACTCACCCAAAGTCAGCTGAGATAAATAGTGTAGAGGCTTAATGTGCGTTAGCCACAGACAGTGGGTTCACAAGTCAGCAGACCCGCAGGTTCCTAATTTCCGAAATCTCATTCTCAGTTGCAGGAAATGTCTTAGTTCAGTGGAAGAACATATGTTCTGCATACACAGAATATTGCCTTGTCTCTGGCAGGGCTGGAAACGATGTCCTATGTGAAACCATGGGCAACCGTTGCCGCTCAGTTTTGACAGCACTGAGTTAGCTGGATCCAGGGTCTGATTCAGCATCAAGCCATTTCCTGTGCTTCCGGTTTTTTACACATACTCATATCTGCTTTTTTGACGTTGTGATTCCTAATAACTCTTTGCAAACGTGCAGAAAGTGTTCATAAGAGAGTGTTACATTCCATCAAGATGTTTCCAACACATGGTGACCCCGATGGGGTCTTGGAAGTATGTGAGATGTCCGAGTAGTGGTTTACCATTGCCACAGACCCCCCCATGAATTTCCATGCCCAAGCAAGGATTTGAATCCAGATTTCCTGAGTCCGAGTCTGACACTCTGACACACCTCACTAGCTTTTTGTATTCTAGACTAATTTGATGTCCTCATTGCCTGCAGGCAGAGCCAGTTTAGACATTACGCAGAGGTTAACCCAGGTTTGCCCCTGTTGATTCAGCAAAAAGCTGCAGCCAATCAGAGTCCTTGAAGCAAATGAATGAATATACATGATTGCAACAAACATACTGCTTTTTTCAGCTATTCATCACTTTCCAAAAACCGTAGGGACACATTTAAAGAATGTAGTATGTAAAGCAGCAACAGTGAAGATAACAGAGTTCCTTCATCCTTACATGTTGACTGCCTTTCATTAAACCATTAAGGAACTGCACTATTTTTTTCCTTCATGTCCTTTAAAGAAAACATTTTTTTCACAGGTGATCAATCTCTTCAAACAAAGTTAAAAAACCAAATGACAACATACAGAAAATGGTACAAAGAAAAAGACAGAAGAATAATTCTTCCACAGTGCTTTTACCCCCCAGGACCCTAGAAGAAGTATCAACTCTTTTATTGTGTCGTGCTACACATCTGGAAAACCAAAAACTACTTCAGAAGTAAGTTGCATCCTTTTGGAAACTTAGTATATTTCTGTCAAATAAATTTGTCCTGCCAAATCAATTCTTGGTGATAAATAATAAAACAATAATGAGGGAGATCTAATAATTTAATTGTGTATGCTAAAGGGAAACTGTTGTAGTGTCAGCCTACAAAGTGAAGCAAATCCAGGATAATTCTTGACATCAGAACCATTATCAGTGCCAAATGGATATAAAACCACTTCTAAAACAATAATTGTTGTTTCAGGTGTCTCAGAATTCCAATGGTAGTGCATCAGAATGGAAAAAGATGTTGTCTGGCATATTAATGGTTACTTGCTATATATTATATATTTTATTTCATCAGCCACAGCAATTTATTTGTTTGTTTTTAAGAAAGTGCTTCTGATCCCCTCCCACATCCCACCACTGGGATGACTTGGAAATGTTTTATTTCCAAAAATTTTCTGCAGCTCATAATGTCATCAACCTTATGAGGTATAACTTAGAAACCAGGATTTAAGCTGATATGTGAATTTTTAGGTGGCTAAACAATGTCCTACAGCCCTCCACAATCTGGTAAGGAAACATCAGAGCTCACCTGCCCTGATGAAGTTTAGAGTGCATACCTGCCTGTATACTGAATTCTGCTGGGCAACGAACAGTGGGGTCCCTTATGAGGGGCCTCCTAACGGGAAGAAAGATGGTTTATAAATGAAATATATATAAAAACAAGCACTTTAGGAGGTCCTTTGGGTCAGGGAAATGGAAGACAGTTAACTCCCTTCTTCCTGCTTCTCTAACCAAACCCATCTCCTCTCAAAAATATATTCCTTTCTAACTGTGATTGCAGTTATTGCCTAAATTAGTGGAGAAGCACAGAAAAATCTGCAGAAATGTATGTGATTTTTTTTGTGCCTTTTGACATCTGTTTCCTATTTGTTGCTTCTTCCTTCCTTTTTCTGAGCATTTTTTTTCTTCCCATCAGCCACTCCTCCCTATTATTTCAATTTCTCTGTTTTCTTTGTGAGCATGCTGCAATTACAAGGGGCATTTTCTAATTTTCTTCCAGACTCTTCATTTTGTGAGTGGCACCGATACTCGTGTCCGCTTTTCTGATGGCTTTTTAGGCTTGGACGTTCAAGTTGGAACACCATCTAACAGCAGCTGAATTCAGAAGGAATGTAAGGGGCCAGGACTTGAGTTCTACGCCATTGATCTGATTCTGTTTTTCTTTGAAGGGGATGTTCTCTTGGTTTTGTCTGTTTCTCCCAGCACCTTAAACTACAGTGCTGAAGGTGAGTCACAAGCATGTCAGGCACCAATGTCACGATGTGCAAAGATCACAGTGCCAGCCACCGATTGCACCTGGTTGGATACAGCCTGATCTTCACCGCAGGCTTGCTACTCAATGTTGCAGCACTCTGGATTTTCCTGTATTACCTGAAACTCAAGTCGGTGGTGAGCATCTACATGTTAAACTTGGCTGCGAGTGACCTCCTTTTCACCATATCTTTGCCCTTCCGTATTTATTACTATTCCATGGGCGAGTGGCCTTTTGGAACCATTCCTTGCCAGATCTCTGGCTCTGTCTTCCAAATAAACATGTATGGCAGCTGCCTCTTCCTAATGTGCATCAACCTGGACCGCTTTGTTGCTATCGTCTATCCTCTCCGTTGGCGACATTTCCGACGCCCCAAAGTGGCTCGGCTGCTCTGCCTTGTGGTCTGGGTGCTTATCCTGATGGGCTCCGTTCCTGTCGCTGGTGTCCACAAAACAACTTCTTGTGTCAAAGAGAACCGGACCATCACACTGTGTTTTGAAAGCTTCAGTGATGGCCTGTGGCAGAAAGGACTCTTCCCCCTGGTTATTCTGGCAGAGATCCTCGGTTTTCTTCTGCCTCTGACTTCTGTGTCCTTCTGCTCAGTCCGAATGTTTCAGAACCTGTGCCAGGCTGATCGGAAGCAGAACCTGCGCCAGCAGAAAACAATCCGCATGCTTGTGGTCAACCTGGTCATCTTTATTATCTGCTTTGTGCCCTATAACATTATTCTGGCCGTCTATGGGATGATCAAGGCCCACGTGATCAAGACTGGATCGCCAACACGCGATTCTGTACGCCAAGCCCTCGTGGTCACTGTGCTGTTGGCCAGTATGAATTGCACTCTGGACCCTCTGATCTATTACTTCAACACTGAAGGTTTTCGAAATACGTTAAAGAAGTTGAGAAAGGGGCAAGCGTGGGACTCAGAAACTGGAACCATTCAGACCCGGATAATGGAAGGGAGGACCTACAAGGGAGCTCACACCAAGCCAGGAGCTAAACAGTTTCCAGTTCAGATCCGCCCCTATGAAGACTCGCCTTTTGTTTCCCCTAAAATGTTTCTGAACAGTCCCATTGAAGACTCTGAAATATAAAAAATGGATGGGCTCTCAGCTTGCTGACTTTCGGAAGGGAGGGAGGCTAACAGGCATTGGAAAGTTACTCACTGGACATTTCCAAATGGTAAACGGAGTGAAAATGTGGTGAGACCAAAAAACAAAAAAAGTAAAAGGAGAGTGGTTCCAAACTTTTGACATTAGTTTCAAACTTTTCACAGTTTTAGGGAGAACTTTGTTTACTGTATCATACAGCTTCATACTAATGTGTGGCATCATTTATGTTCATGTTTATGGCCAGGGCAAGCTCCCATTTTGATGCCTTAACTCAGTGGTTCTTAACCTGTGTTACTCAGGTGTTTTTGAACTGCAACTCCCAGAAACCCCAGCCAGCAGAGCTGATGGTGAAGGCTTCTGGGAGTTGCAGTCCAAAAACATCTGAGTAACAAAGGTTAAGAACCAGTGCCCTAACTTACCCCAGAAACTTGCATCAAGGTGACTGTAGGTCTTTGACGATAGCAGTGCCCTTAAATTCAAAGTTGTCACTGTTCAGATAGATTGCTTTTCCTTTAAACAACAACAACGGGGAAAAAACGTGTTGGTTACTACTATTGTCTGATGCAGATGTGGGCAGCCTTCAGGTTTGCAGGATCGACTGCTTTTTTATCAGACTTTCAAGAAATGCCAACCAAACCCAAGTACAAAAGACATGCACTAAAAAATAAAGAATTCTGATCCAGTAATTGGTTTTGAATAGCACAAGTGAATAGTGCTCATACCCCTTTCACACTGAAATCCAATCTGTTTCAACACTGTAATTATGGGCTGACTAGGTGTCAAATGTTCTTTTTATCATACAGGTGGGAGTCAGAAACCTTTATTGATCTGTTAGAAACCACTGAGAGATCTAGCAACAGATCCCAATCTGTCTTCTAATTACCCTTGCTCTAATGTTGCAACTGTCAGGTTTTCTGCTATATTTATAAAGGCCTCCAGTGGTCTGCCCACTTCTTGGCACCTTGGAGAAGCTTGTAGATGTCAAAAAATCAATAGTCAGCCATCTAGACAAGCCACCTGATGCACCAGCGGTATTTAAGTGGCTCCGTGGGATTCAGAGTGTTAAACTGTGTCACCCATGTGCTCTCAGAGCACATGCACGAACTCCCGTGTACTTTGAGACACATCTGTAAGGAGTTTTGAAATTGACACGACTGCATTTTAACACAGAGTGGGCTGACTTGAATGCTATGTTGCTTTTTTTAAATGCAGGCTGCTTCTAAGAATGGGAATGAGATGTTCAAAGTTACACATCCAGCATGGAACAAATATTTAAAAACAAAGCAATGTAATAGCTTGATTTTTACAGCTGACATGGAAGGAAGTACACATTCTGAATATGCAGCAGTGGGAAAGATCCAAAGTAGAAGTAGATTAGCTCTGACTGAACACACCAAAGGTCATACACTCCGGATCTAGTCAGTCAATGGTCAACTTTCATACACTCCTGATCTAGGAAGATGTGGAGGATTTGCAAGTCAGGCTATAAACACCACAATGTTTATTTTGTTGTTTAGTCCTTTAGTCGTATTCGACTCTTCATGACCCCATGGACCAGAGCACGCCAGGCCCTCCTGTCTTCCACTGCCTCCCGTGGTTGGGTCAAATTCAGGTTGGTAGCTTCGATGACACTGTCCAACCATCTCGTCCTCTGTCGTCCCCTTCTCCTCTTGCCTTCACACTTTCCCAACATCAGGGGCTTTTCCAGGGAGTCTTTTCCTCTCATGAGATGGCCAAAGTATTGGAGCCTCAGTTTCAGGATCTGTCCTTCCAGTGAGCACTCAAGGTTGATTTCCTTCAGAATGGATAGGTTTGTTCTCCTTGCAGTCCAGGGGACTCTGTTTATGTTATGACCTGTGGAAATACACACTTCTCCCTTGAATATCACATGTTTGAACAGTTCAGTTTTGGTTTTTGGTTGTACACATTTTTTTCAATAAATAAATATTCTAATTGATAAATAAATAGTGATGAAATAGAAATTCAATAAATACCATGATCCTGTCCACCCTGAACCCCACGGGTTCAACACCGAAGGCATAAAAATGGCCTATTGCCCCCCAAATACAATATCTTTAATCCAGCTTTAATGCTTATTATACATTATACTGTATGGAAAGGATTGTCAACACTACGGAAGAGAACCCCGATAGAGAGAACTGTTGTTGTGTACTGTTTTTGCTTTGTAGTTATGTTTGGGTGGTGGTATAAGAGTTATACACGGTCTGGTACCCCTGTTGAAGAGAGAAGTGTATATACAAATAGACATTCACATATACACTTTTTCTCCTTCTGCAGCACATCCCTCTGGTGAAGTTGTAGATGACGGCTGAGTTATTGTACTACTACTGCACGTAAGAGGAGAGGCAATGTTGGCACTCAATGGAATTTAAAATTTAAACTTCCATAAGACAGAAGGGGAGACATAATGAAAGGTTTTCTGATAATATCTGCATATATACATTTACAAGAGCACTCTATTCGGTAGACATTGTCACTGGATACTCACATCCCCAACTATAAAACTAGGCTTCTCCACAGATGTGCCATAGAGCCTGCTAACAATATTTTGAGGGCCATGTGATTGTTTACAGATAACCCATCATTACAACTAAAATCACATTAGTACGACATTGTCACTGGATACTCACATCCCCAACTATAAAACTAGGCTTCTCCACAGATGTGCCATAGAGCCTGCTAACAATATTTTGAGGGCCATGTGATTGTTTACAGATAACCCATCATTACAACTACGTAAAATCACATTAGTACTGTATTGTAGAGATGTCATTCAGGTAGACTTTCAGGTCCAAGAAATCAAATTTACAAAGAATGTGATTATGCCCAGAAGACCAATAACAAAATGAAGCAAATTAAATTGAAAATTATGGGAATAAAACTCTTCCTGTGACCATGACACCCAATAAGAAGGAAATCATTTTTCTAATTACTATAACAGTGTCTTAAGACGTTCTCACAGAGTAACTGGGTATTACTCTGAACTGCCTGGTCTGAAAATAAAGCGACTGTCCTCCTAGCCTATTCCTCTACTGCCACCTGGTGTCCCACAATCTGCTGAAAACAGCAGTGATAATCCTGTGTTTTGCTTGAAGGGGTGAGTTTTTTTTAAAAAAAGTGTTATAAGTGAAGACAATTCACGTTGTTAAAATGGAAGCACAACTTCTACTCCCAAAATAAGGTCATCTCTCCCCCTTTCTTTCCATGTAGCTCTATAAATATGTCATTTGATTTTTTTTTTAAAAAAATAGTTCTTATTTCTACCATTGCCTCTTTTTGACCAAAGATATTCAGTAATATTAGCAAAAGGAAAGAGACCCAAGAGTCCTCCTGTGTTGGACTGGACATTCATACACTCTTTCATGGATGGCATATCACCACCAGCTCAGTGTGAGTCATGAACATAGGAAAAAAAGGGGCATGTGGGATCCTGAATTTTCAAACTTATTTTTCTTAAAAAATATCTTATCTTTTATCAATGTAACAATATGCTGTTCTGGTTAGAAGAGAAGTTTGTGCCGCCAGTATGTTAACAATACCCCCCCACTCCAACCCCAGAGAGATAGTGGCTATTATCTTCCATGCCTCCCTGCCAGTTTCAACCTAGGGAGGTTACGTTGCATACACCCTTGGGTTTGCCAAGGCCAAAGTACAGGCCCTCTGCTGTGGGAGGGAGGACTGGCCATGCAGGTGACACCTAGGCTCAGGAAGACCACACTCATCTGGACTCAAGGAGGCTCCCCAGGACATAGGGATGCCCCCATGTTTCCCTTTTGCTAGACTTTTCATGCTGCATCTGTGCCAACGGTTTATTCAATAAGCTTTCTAAGGTATTGACGGTTTTCTCTCTTCATCAGGACTAAAAAGAATGTAAGTTCACTGGGGTTCTGGCTGGTCCAAAAACACCAGTTAGCATACCTCCTATTATAATAATTTTAAGTATGTGCTGTCAAGCCCATTACTGCTTATGGTGACCCATCACATAATTTTCTAGGTACAAAGTACTCAGAAGAAGTTTCCTATTCCCTTCTTCTGATGGCATTCTAGGACTGTGCATCTTAGCCGAGGACATGCACGCCAGCTTTTCTCCCAAGAGGCACCGTGAGTAATCCAATGCCCAACCCCTGGCTCCACAGAGAAAACAGAACAGACAAGAGATGCAACTAGATGCTGGAGAAAATACGCTCTTACCTGGTATACTCTTAAAGCGCACACATGCTTTCATACCTACACTCACACGAAGCTGGTGGTGACACACCCATAAGGGATCTTTGAACTATGGCAACAGTACATCATGACACAGATTGGGCTGAGTATAGAACACTCACATTGAGCTATTCACAAGGGGCAAATTATTGAATATAAGCAAATTAAACTATAGCACAGAGTCACAATAAACTATACAATTAATATGAGGAAATAACTCAAGAAGCAAGCTTGCATGAAGAAGAGCTAAGCTTGGGCTAGGCACCGTGCTGCTGAGGGGAAATGAGTGAAACCCTGTACGGGCACCAGGAATAACTCAAGAAGCAAGCTTGCATGAAGAGGAGCTAAGCTTGGGCTTGAGGGGAAATGAGTGAAACCCTGTACGAGCACCAGATCTGCTTGGAGAACAGCAGCACAACTGGCTGGGATGGTTGGCAGCTGGAGCAGCAGGTGCTGCAGTACAAGCAAACCCTGCTGTATGCCATAAACATAGGGCATAAATCCACACCTTTCCCACAAAACACCTCTGTATGTGAAGCTGAAACAACTTTGGTGAGGAGAAGGTCTCCCTTGATCCCACCTGAATTAACCTGCCAAGACAAAAGTATGGAACAGCAGAATCAAACATTTTTGGGAATCTTGGCCCAGGGGACAGATATTAAACAGGAGAATGACGCATAAAGTTCTGTGAAGCCAACAATCTGTTTATCACTTTAAGCAACCAAACAGATGACTGTACACATTTTTGTTGTTGTTTAGTCATTTAGTCGTGTCCGACTCTTCATGACCCCATGGACCAGAGCATGCCAGGCCCTCCTGTCTTCCACTGCCTCCTGGAGTTGGGTCAAATTCATGTTGGTCGCTTCAATGACACTGTCTATCCATCTCATCCTCTGTCATCCCCTTCTCCTCTCACCTTCACACTTTCCTAACATCAGGGGCTTTTCCAGGGAGTTTTCTCTTCTCATGAGATGGCCAAAGTATTGGAGTCGCAGCTTCAGGATCTGTCCTTCCAGTGAGCACTCAAGTTATTTTCCTTCAAAATGCATATGTTTGTTCTCTTTGCAGACCAGGGGACTCTCAAGAGTCTCCTCCAGCACCACAATTCAAAAGCAT